ACACGGCAGCACCCTGGGAAAGGGAGGGAGGTAGGAGTAGGGACGAGGAGGGGAAGGGGAGGGAGTGCGGAGGAAGCCCATGGGAGGGCAGATTTGAGCGAAGTAGTGTGAGAGGAATGGATAATGTAGTGACAGAAACGCACCAACTTAGTGTCGACGAGGGTGTATCTGCCCTTGGTTCACCTAAACACATGGCAGCACACAAAGCAAACGGCATACCTTAAGATAAGTGACGGCGAGCTCGGCCTGCAGCCCATCAGCGAGCTGCACGAGGGCATGGTCGGGCTTGTTGTGAAAACCCAACGCACACCCCAAGGCGCCACACAGACAGCATACACTAGGACATCGTACTCCATGGCACCACAGGGTGGACAGCAACACACCTTGAGATAAGTGACGGCGAGCTCGGCCTGCAGCCCATCAGCGAGCTGCACGAGGGCATGGTCGGGCTTGTTGTGCAGGAACTTGATTCGCACCACGTTGCCGTAGTTGGACACCAGGTTGAACAGCTTGTCTGCATCCACCACCTGACATGTGTGATGGGGAGGGTGAAGCACGGAGTGTGGAGTGTGGTTAGAGAGCATGGAGTGCGGTAGGCAGTGCATCGTAGGGGCACCACGTTGCCGTAGTTGGGCACGCGGTTGAACAGCTTGTCCGCGTCCACCACTTGGCATGTAAACGGTTGGAGACGGTAGAGAGGGTGGAGCATGGTAGAGAGCATGTAGTAACGACGGGCTCTGCGTGATAAGGGCACCACATAGCAGTAGTTGAGAACGCGGTTGAACAGCTTGTCCGCGTCCACCACCTGGGAGGGGTTCAAGAAGAGTGCAGGTTTAAAGGGCCGGGTGGTGTGTGGAAAGTGCAAGGCGCGCCCATGGCAATGCTGGATAGCGCATGGAAAGGGGCAGCAACAGGAACTGTCTGCACGTTTGAAGAAGCAACTCTCTAAATCAGGTCAGAAGTCCTCATGGGCCACGTCAGCATGTCACGTCTCCCGCGCCTGACGTCAGCGCACCTCATGGTGGATGTTGGAGATGAGCAGTGTGCAGCGGTCGTTGGTGCCCGTCACACCCGGCGGCAGGTTGCCCCCGAACATCTGCGCCGCCGCTGCTGCTGCCATGCCGGGGTTCTGCATGCAGAGGACATTCAGAGCAGCAACCCGCCAATGACATACACCATGCACAGGGGTGATTTTTGAGGCGCCTCAAAAACCATGTTGGTGTTCTGCATGCAGCCAAACATACAGAGCAGCAACCCGCCAATGACATACACCACGCAAAGGAAGCTCCAACATGCAATGTACGCCGCAGCGGCAGCAGTGCCAACAGCAGCGGTGGCAGCAGCAGTAGCAGCAGGAAAGGCACAATTAAGCAGCAGGATGACCAATACACGCAGAAGGCAAAAGGGCTCACCCCATATGCGTTGAGGCCGCCCATGCCCGGCTGGGGCATGCCCGGCTGCCCCATCTGTCCCATCTGCCCCATCTGCCCCATTTGCCCCATCTGTCCCGGAAACACACCCGGCCGCTGCCCGGGCATGGCGCCATACACATTCCCGCCCTCGCCAAACAGTGACGTCTGCTGCTCACGCGGAAAAAATAAATTAGAAGAATGAGAGGCGCGTCAGTTACACAAACGGGCGAAGGGAGGAACTTAACGGGACAGGGAATGACCACTGGCTGTCTCCGCTTACCATCATGGGTGCCTTGCCCGGCTGATCCGGCAGCTGGTTGACATAGTCTCTGGTGCGCTCGTTGTTGTAATGCACCTGTAGCTCGCTCAAACTGCACACCGCACACACCATCACCACAGCCGCCACCACCATGAGCACCCGCACCACCACACCATTCACACGCGCGCGCACACACGCAGGGGCAGAACGACACACACACACACACACACACACACACACGCACGCACGCACGCACACACACACACACACACACACACACACACACACACACACACACACACACACACATCATGAGAACCACTGTTGCCAACATTGTAACTAACATCGTTGGGACCACCAACGTTGTAACTTGTAACAACCACCGACATTGACACACGGAAGAAACCCAACAGAGGCACCTCGTCGAGCTTAAAACGGCTGTTACGTAGGACCAATCCTATTGAGTGCTGCAGGAGCAAGATAAGAGTTGGCTTTTGAAAACCACGTCCTTCTGGCAGAAGTAAGAGTTGGTTTTAGGAGAGGAGGGGGGGTGGAGGGGGGTGGGTTGCGGGGGGGGGGAGATATAAGAACATGTGTATATAACAGGGGGAAACGTACTTGGAGAACTGGATGTCGAGCGTGCAGCAGCCGTCGTAGATGTTGCGGCCCTGCAGGTTGGTCTTGGCGGCGGCCGCGCTCGCCTGGTTGTTGTACTGCACCAGCGCCTGCAGCCCTGCTCCGCGCAACACCGGGGGACGGGGGAAAGGGGAGGCAGCGCGGGAGACAGCACGAGGTGCAGCACGAGAGGGAGCAGCAGAGGCCGCGGTTGAGAACAAAGCGGTCGGCGGTCGAGTTTCCCGCGTGTGAGGGGACAGCCTGACCCCTCACTCCGGGGGATGACGACCGACGTCTAATACCCCCGGGGGTACTTTGGCCGCGGTTAGAGAAGACGAGAGGGAGCAGAAGGAAAGGAGCGGAAGGAAAGGAAGGAGCGGAAGGAACAGAAGGCAGGAAAGAGTGCAAGAGCGAGAAGGAGGGAGAGGGGGGTCGGACCAGCAGCTTTCTGGAAAGTGACGATCTTCTCAACAAAGCCATGGGGAGAAAAGACTTGGTGAAGCACATCCACGTTGATTGGATACAGCGGGTTGTGGATTGTGACTAGGATTATGCGGTTAGGGGCACCCTGGGGAGACGAGCGAGGAACGGGAAGGAGAAGGGGGAGAGAGAGGGGAGAGAGAGGGAGGAGAGAGGAGGGGAGAGAGAGGGAGAGGGTAAGATCTGAAGAACGGATGAGAGGAAACGGCGGAGAAGGTATGGAAAGGTTGAGAAAGGTACGGAAAGGCGGAGAAAGGTACGGAAAGGCGGAGAAAGGTACGGAAAGGCGGAGAAAGGTACGGAAAGGCGGAGAAAGGTACGGAAAGGAGGAGAAAGATGCACAAAGGCGGAAAAGGTAGGTACGGAAAGGAACGAGAGCAGTGAGGAGGAAGAGGAATAGGGACGGTCGATCCGTGACTCCTTGTCGTCGGACGGCTAGCATGCTCTCCGTAATACGGATAGTTCCCGCTATTGCCCGATCCAGCATTCCTCCGTTGACTAGAATTCACGTACCTCCTGGTGTGTCCTGCCCGGATTCTCGTTGGGCGTGAGGACCTGATGCGAGGAGAACTGGCAATACACGTTCCTCCCCCTGCACACGGTTACACGGTTACAACGTTAGCAGTTACATCGTTTCATGGCGACGCGAGGTTGTGTGAATTCTTTGGCAATTAACAGGCACGATGAACTGAATCAATAATGCCATGGATGAAATATAGGAACAACTATTATTTATTACTTGATGGAGGCCTGCACGCCAGTGTAGAATTGGATCATGTTGATCGCAGCTGCAATGTCCTGCATCTCAATGAGGGCCTGCAAGAAATCACAATTTTGAATTAATTACAAGTGAAATGACGAATCAGCCGAGCAGGATGAAGGCACACGAGAGAAGACTTTGCAGATCGACAATCGAACCTGGTTCTTGGCTCTCATGACGACGACCCTCTGCACCGGTCCGAAGTTCTGCGCCAACTGCTGCACATCGAGCTGCAGAAGAGAATAATCGAGATTAAAAGATGAGTAAAACGAGCAAAATAAATTCTGTAATTTACTAAAATCATGCAGATCTGGAACGTGCTAAATGTTCGAAACCCTCACCTCCGTGGCCTCAGATGGCACATTGCGGACGTGAATGACCTTCGACGCGGATTCGGCCATGGCTAACCAATTCTAAAGAACGGAGGGAACCGAAAAACTAAGTTAACTACTCTGATACGAGCGTGACAAGCGGAGATGCAATGGCTAGAGAAGAACTGCTAAGAGGGTTTGACAGATAGTGATAGCGAGATCTGCAGAACAAATGAGGAAAGAATGGAACTGACCGGTTGGCCTTGCTGGGATGAGTCATCTTTCGCGACATAAACAATTTGTTACAAAGTTTTGCGAGGCCTATTCCAGGGACCTGCCTGTACGGTTTCTCCAAGGCCTACAAACATAAACGTCACGAGTTGTACGGTTTGCGATGCGCTTCTAAGCGAGGACAGTCTCACCCAGACGAGCAAGTTGCCAGCTGCTTATCACAATTTAAGGTTCTCCTTATCCAACCAACCACACCAACCTTCCACACACCACCACCAATCCACTGACTCCACACTGCACTCCGCACCACACGCAACTCCGCTCCACCCTACTGTCCTTGATTCTCCTCCTCCTTTCTGATGGCCTTACCGCTGAACGCCGTATCTACTGATGTCTTCAGATGGCCATGCCTTCGGGTATTGGTTCCTGAATTTTAGAAGACCGTATTTCAGACCTCATGCATGCTTCAGTGACCGTACTCCCAAGCTGTTGGAACCCTTACTGACCAGAAGATGCTATGGCCTGATCATCACTCCATTCACTAACCTTTTTATTGTGCTTAGAGTCTGAAAGCAGGGATGATCTCTCACCTGCTACGTTGTTCAGACAGTTGCTACTAGGTTGCTCTTAAACTGCCGAAGGATACGTCAGAATGACGAAACGTACGACCGTTACTGTATCGTTCCTTGTGCTGATCGTTTTTGCCACGTCATCATTGTCAGCCACAAGTGACGCCACGACTTACAGAAGACGACTCGCCGTGTTCACCGCCTCGCTGGTATGCCTTCATTCCTTATGCATTCGTGCCTTCAACTTCACATGCGTGCATGTGTTATTGAGAACTCGTGCATGTGCTAGTGCAAACGCGTGCATGTTTCATTCTAGTAATTACACATGAATTTCGCCTGATATTTGGTGGCTTGTAACGGCTGATGCGGGATCGGTGTGCGCAGATGGACGAGAGTCCCGGCAGTCGCCTGCAGCGAGAGAGCGCCGCCGCGTGGACTTCCTCCACCGACGGCCCCAGCTTCCTGCGCCAGATTGTGCCCGCTGACTCGTCCAGCGACGCTGCTGACTCAGCCAACGGTGCTGCTGACACCTCGTCAGCGACTTCCGCATCCGTATCTCCATCGCCTGAAACCAAGCAGTCCTCTGCTACTGCTGACTCCAGTGACACGGCCACATCGCCTGGCAAGGGCACTAAAAGTGAGAACAAGCAGTCAGACCCAAAGCCGTTACAGCAGCAGCCGCCGCAGCAGCCGGAGGAGCAGCCGCAGCAGCAGCAGGCGGCGTCATTCGGGCAGGTGCTACCCACTCAGGGTGACCTGGCGTCGCTACCCGACTGCACGCGGCAGCTCGCGGCGTTCCCCAAGCTGAACCGCTCCGACGAGGCTGTGAGGCGCTTTGCCTGCATCGCCGACACCTACCTTCACCCCTGGATGGGCTCGAGTTTGGTGAAGAAGGGCGGTGTAGGAGGGGCGGCGGAGGAGGAGGGGCCACGTGGCATCATCTCACAGGCCATGCTGCAATACGTGGCGTCTGAACCCGGGGTGAGCTTTGTAATCTGGCTCCTGTGAGAAGTGAGGCGGTTGATTGAGAGACGTCTTAAAACTCATGAGTCTGTCTGTTCCAGTCTATGTGGCTCTCTCTTCTGTCCCTCGTCTACCTGCTCTATCCAATTTTACTCACGTCAACTCCTCATAATCAGGCGCCCAAGAACAATGTTTCTCCCTTCCCCTCCCCCGCAATGCTTTCACACACGCCAGTTCATGTCATGCGCAGGCGTCGGACCACATCCGCATCATCGACGGGCAGGTGTATTTCCGCCACGCCTTTCAGGACGTCTCAAAGGCACTTCTTCTTCCCAATTTCCTCCCTCCCCACCGCCCCCTTTGGTTCCCACCCACCAGTTCATGTCATGTTCGGGTCACATCCGCATCATTGACGGGCAGGTGTACTTCCGCTACGGGGGCTTCCACTACCAGTGGGACCGTCTGCACCGCTTTGTGCAGTCCGTGAAGCTCATCCAGGCCGCTATCCGCCACTACTCCCTGCTCGCCCTGCGTGCCGAGTTCTTCCTCTCCACCTGCGACCTCCCCAAGAGCTTTGATAGCTCGCTGAGTGGGATCTTTGGCGGGCGGCCCATCTTCAGCACGGAGTGGCTGCCGGGCACGCTGGATATCATCGTGCCTGACCCGCTGGATTTATCGGAGAGCTACCAGGCTGGCAAGGACGCCAAGGTGAGGGGTGGGAGGCAAGGAAGCGTTTTGGTTCACTGCGAGGTGATGTGCCAGAGCGCTGGCGCTGCTGCTCCCTGTCTGCCTCACTGCTCCCCATTCGCCTCGCTCTCCCTCCGTGCCACCCTTCTCTCCCCAGACCCCCTGGGAGCAGAAGGCGAGCAGGGCGGTGTTCAGGGGCGGCTTCACCAACTTCAAGCTGGGCCCCGACCACCGCTGGCGAGTCAGCCCGCGCTATCGCCTCCACCGGTCAGATTCCCTCCACGCTCGCCCACGCCCTCCCACGCCCGCACACGCCCGCCCATACCCTCCCATGCCTTGCCCTACCCCTTTTCCCGCCCATACCTTCCACCTCTCGTCCGGCTTTGCTTGCTTTCTTGTGTTTCCTCTTGCCCTCAATCGTCGGACATTCAGCCACGCTGTGCTCTTCCCTCCCGCACTTGCTCTCTCCCTCGCTTCCCCCACTCTCACGGTTCCATCCCATGGGTGCCTTTTCCCCATCGCATTGAATTCTTTTGTTCAACTTTGGATGAATGAGTGGGTGGTGTGGTGGGCGGGTGGGTGGGTGGTCACTGGGGTGGGTTGTGACTGGGGTGGGTGGCCATGGCGGTCGGTGTGGGTGCAGGGGCGGACTGCACGCGTGGCAGAATGACGGATGCGCGCCCAGACCTGCTGGATGCTCGAGTCATGCGCCTGCTCGTGGATGACAAGACCAGAAACATGTGAGTCAAGGCAGATGTGAGTCAAGGCAGATGTGAGTCAAGGCAGATGTGAGTCAAGGCAGATGTGAGTCAAGGCAGATGTGAGTCCCACAGCATGTGAGACCCGCAGCATGTGAGACCCGCAGCATGTGAGACTAGAAACAGCACGCGAGGTCACACATGCGAGGACAGAAGCATGTGTTTGAGAAGCGTGAGCAAGTGTGATAGCAATCGTGAACGACTGGAAACGCATGAGGCAATGCTTGTGTGCATGCATGCAGGGCGATGGGAGACGGGTTGAGTGAGGCGGCCAAGATGGAGAAGGCGGAGTCGCAGCGCTTCAAGTACGAGGTCGTTGTGGACGGCGGCGCTGGCTCCTGCCGCACCTGCGGTGTGCTGGGGAGTGACCAGGTGAGCCGCTTGCCTTGCGTGTGCTGTGTGTGTGCTGTGTGTGTGCTCGGCAGCGACCAAGTAAGCCTTTTGCCATATGTTCCACCACCACTGCATCCTCAGTAGCTATGGAATCGGCTCAATGCATCTCTTCCTTATTCCCCCCCTGCTGGTGCTGCTGGCGCTGTGTGCGCTGCTGTTGCTTCCGGTGTTACTGGTCCTCTTTAACCTGTCTCGCCGTCTCCCATCCCGCACCCCATTCACAGGCCATGATCCAGCAGGACACGCCCTTGGCACGGTTCTTCCAGCCGCTGCTGCACCCACAGCTACCACAATAGTCTAACTTTCTTCTTGGCTGATCTTGTTAACTACTTCCCCACATCTCGCACCCCTCGTGCAGGCCATGATTCGGCAGGACACGCCCTTTGCACAGTTCTACCAGCCGCTGCTGCAGCCGTGGCGGCACTTCATCCCCACGGACCACTTTTTTGGGGACCTCTTTGACCGCGTCGAGTGGGCGAGACAGCACGACACCCAAGTGCGACACATGATTGCCAACGCGCACCGCGTTGCCAAGTGAGTGTGGCCGCCTGCTTCCCACACTGTGCCACGATGCTCTGCCTACAATGCACACTGTGCCGCGATTCATTGCTTGCTATTCACACCGTGCGTGACATGCTCTTTTCTTTCTAAATCACCCATTCTTGATATTCACACAGTTGCACGCCATCTCCAAACAACGCTTCTACCTGTCTTGCTGTCACGCCATCTCCGCTCTTCCCCTTCCTCCCCCTCCACCAGGTGGGGGTGCTCCCTGGAGGGCCGAAAGCTCTACTGGGCGGTCCTCCTCGTCAAGTACGCCGCCCAGGCCCTCGAAGACCCCTCCGCAGTCACCCGCCCGGACGTCGTCTCCACATGCCCTGCGCCGCCCGCTAAGGACCGCATGCGGCCGGCGCAGGAGGAGAGTGAGATTGTGAGGCCGGAGGCGGGGTGGCCGCCGGTGTGTGCGGATAAGGACGTGGCACGGGTGAAGCAGCCGCCCTGCACTTTCTTCTGTGTGAAAGGACCCATGCCACGCAACAGGCAGGTCTGGCTCAATGCGGACCTCTTTGACTCGGTTGACTTTGTGGGCCCGCATGTCGCTGACATGGACGAGTAGGTGCTGGGCATGGATGTAGACAGGGATTCCATGAAACATATAATACACTAGTTTTAACAAAGTTTTAAGGCATAATGTGCCCATTCATTCCTAAAGATTAAGTAACTCTTCAGACGTTTCTTGTTCCACATACCAATCACAGCGCCTAAACTTGATGGTGGTGCTAGAGAAGGCAAGTGCATTTCACAAGTTATCAGGAGCACAGCGGACTTCATTCCTTCCTACCCTTGCATGAGTTCCATAATTACGTCTTCTGTGCCGGGGCGACCAACTGTAATCGTATCAAAGGATTTTACGACATTCCCTTCTCGGAACACCAGCAGATTGAGCGTACCGCTGACGTAGTTGTGCGAGGCCACCCAGGGGTATTTATCGATGTCCACCTCGTAGAACGTTACTAATCCTGCCTGAATCTCCGCATTGAAGCTGCTCGCGATATCGGCAAAAACGGGACCAAATGTTTCGCATTTCCATGTATGGGTGCTGTCGTAAAGGGCGACCACGATAAGACCTGAACCAGAAAGAACGCGCGTCTGCCATTCATCCTCGCTCAGCGCACTCACGAGTTCAGAGCTAGCGAACGCCATCAAAATCAGTTTACGAAGCTGTGAAAGGGACGAGGACAAAGGCTATTGTGAATACTGACAGACTACGGAGTGAATGGCTATGAAAAAAAGGTCTTTCGTAGAGTAGTTACACGAGGGAGAGACGCTCTGACTGAGGGGAGGCCTTCGTTTGCTGGCAGTGGCCTTCATTTTCCGCCAATCGGGACATCGAGGTCAACGTGGCCAACTGTACAGTACGATAGTACGTGTACGCCTGGCCCTATCTAAATTGACACGCTGCCCCATCAGGACGCGTCACGAGTGAAAAACCGATCCTGCACAAGATCGGTGTTTCGCGGCTACAATGCATTCACGACGTCGTTAATTTCTTGTTACCTTTTTCGTCATTTGTCGCCAATGTACAGTTGTCCCCTCGGAGTCGGGCGATCGACCTCCCTTGTCACACATCGATCGTGCAATTTCGTCCACATCGGGCAATTTTGCCCCATGATTTTCCGATCGTGTCACTTGGGGCTTGCGGTGGGCACGCGATTGCAAAAAATCAGTCATGGCACACCGATGTGGCGATCGATTTGGCAGGGTCGTGAGGTCCCGACCCTTCCTCGGTTTTTCACTTGTAATGGTCCTCACGATTTGAGTATAGTGATCCACAGACGAGCCCGACCAACCTAATCGCTTTAAAGGGGACTCAACCAGCCCGTCTTGACTTGACAGCAATCCGCCAACAGAGGCGGGGTGGGTGGGCCACAGAATCACGGCTCTTCCGTTTTCAGCCTCTGTTCCATTTCTATGGTTGAGAGCTTCCTGATCGGCTGAGAGAATTTCTCCAGACTCCGAAACGGTGATTTGCCGTTGCACACGTGGCCTCGAATTGCTACCGTGGTCGGACAGTTCGATGATAATTGCTCGAGTGGTTTTGCCAGAGGTTTCCTCTGGCATTTTTTTAATCCGGCACATTACCCAAAGCCGGTTTTTAGCCCCTTAAATTCTTACGTCGAACGTGTCTCTTCCCGCGAAAGTGTGGCGTACCCGGAAAGACGTGCACGAGGGCGACAACGTCACTATTCGGATACGCAACAAAATCAGCACACTCATCTAGGCAAACAGTTGCGCTCAATTTCAGTCCATATCGTAACCAATCCGCGCATAGTTATATGATTCTACGATCATATATTCAGTTGGACGGATATCAGTACGCGCGACCAATTACAGAGTGCGCTTGATTGGTCGACTTTATGCGCGAGGCCTTTTTCTGACCTTGCACGTCCAATCAGACGCGGTCATGTAAGATCGCGCTCATATAAAACCGCATATTTACCTATATGAGCGAGCATATGTGATGCTCGAATGTGTGTATGATCTATTTTATTAATCTAAAACTATATTAATAAATTTGAGAGACATTATCACTGCCGACATTTTGTCATTATACCTATATCACGCTGTGCGATATAGGTATGCACAGTTTGATATAAGTATAATGGCAAAACGCTGGTAGTGATAACGTCTCCCTAATCTATTAACATAGTTTTTATATCAATAAAACATATCACACACACATTTGAGCATCACATATGCGCGCTCATTTAGGTAAATATGCGGTTTTATATGAGCGCAATTTTACATGACCGCGTCTGATTGGACGCGCAAGGTCAGAAAATGCCCCACGCATAAAGTCGACCAATCAAGCGCACTCTGTAATTGGTCGCGCGTACTGACATCTGTGCAACTGAGTATATGATCGGGGAATCATATAACTATGCGTGGATTGGTTACGATATGGACCGAAATTGAGCGCAACTGTTTGCCTAGATTACCGTGCCGATTCTGTCGCGTATCCGAACAGTGACGGCGCCGCCCTCGTGCACGTCTTTCCGGGTGCGTCACACTTTCGCAGGAAGAGACAAGTTCGACGTAAGAATTTCATGGCTAAAAACCGATTTTGGGTAATGTGCCGGATAAAAAAAAATGCCAGAGGAAACCTCTGGCAAGACCACTCGAGCAATTATCATCGAATTGTCCGACCACGGTAGCAATTCAACGCTACGTGTGCAACGGCAAATCACCGTTTCTAGGTCTGGAGAAATTCTCTCTGATCGGCTCCTAAGCAACGTGGCCTCCAGCTCTTGCGTATGATGCATCGCTTGGGATGCCTGATGGCCTCCAACTGGAGGCTTGCCTTTTTATCCAGCGGGCCTGGTCTGCTCATGCCTGCAGTATGAGATTCTAACGGGCGGGATTCAATTGTGCAGTTTTTCTTTTCATGTTTAGCTTCCAAAATAGGCCTGGATGGGGCTTGTACAGCAGATATATTGCTATGAACAGCTGTGGCAGCACTACTGTGCCCAGGTCACATAAATACGATACTACTCTTGCGTTTTTTGTTGCAGCAGAGATACAAATCAGTTGCCGCACGGGACAGGTTGGCATTCGTGAGGGGCACGAAAGACGTCATTCGTAAACCGGCAAGATCTTCACCAGCTCATCATGCAGACCATCCGTGCATGATGTCCCAAGGTTTTTCACAAGCTCGCCTTGTCGGAACGCAAGCAGATTGAGGGTACCAGTGAGGTTGTTGTCCGAGAGCATGCGGGGGAACTTGTGGACGTCCAGTTCGTAGAACGTTATTGATCCTGGTTGGAAGCGGTACAGCTAATGCTCGTTAGAGCCCCTCCCGGTTGCCTTGTGAAGGGGGTCTGTATGCTAAACCGACATTTCGTAGGGGGTTCGCTTGTTTCGTTAGGCTTTGCGCGTGCATCTAACCTGCACATGGTTACCACCCGATTTGTCCGTTCCGGAACAGTGACGGGTGGCTCTAATTGTCACAAATGCGCGTTACTGAATACTTCACGAAAGCAACAACATGTCACCAAACAGCGTCAACAATTGTTCAACTTAGATTGAAACAACCAACACTCAAAGCCTAACCAATCACCATCTCCCACATGGTCACGCAGCCCCAACCTTGACACACATCACCACACGCACAAATGTGCTGCTGGGAAAACAATCCCAACACAGCATGGATGTCTTCGACGCCGGCACAGAGGGCTGGAAAAACAGCTCACAGGCGCATCCACTCAGCCGCCTCAACCTACCCGCCCATGGCGGCGCCAACACCGCCGTCCAGCAGCTGCTGCCGGCGGGATGGCTGGGTCATCCAGCCAGGCAGCACACGGCCGCGCGGACGAAGGGTGTCGGGCGTGGGCGTTGAGCCCGGAGTGAGCACACGCGGCGGGGCCATGTTGAGATTAATGGGGGGGCTTGCCCGCTCCATGCGCTCGAGGATGACGGGATTGCGTATGTCGAAGAGGTAGCAGAGGTCGCGCGGCGTCACGCTCACGGCGCGCGCATAGCCGATGAGCATCTCACAGGCCGCCCGGGCAGTGCGTCGTGCTTCACGGCCCACGGGGTCCGCATCGTCGTACACCGCCTGCATCGTGGTCGGCGCCCTCCATAGCGTCGCCACCAAGGCCGCTTCCGGCTCATCAGTCAGAAGCTCCGCCGCGGTCTCGGCGGACGTTGGCTCACCGTCGTCGATCGCCACGTATTTCGCGGCGGTCATCGCGCCGTTCCCGAGACCGAGGGAGCTAATGAGAGTTCCGACGTCGTTGATGTCTTCATCGAGCTCGATGTCGGGATAGGGATGCGGGGTCGGCTCGTCGTCGTGAACATGGGTCAACTCCAGCGACCACGACAGCGGCAGGCATCTAGTGCGCCACCCAGCACCTCTGGATGGTGCGCGCACCGACGCTCATCCATGCGTCCGAGAGCCACCCCAGGACGTCGCGCAGGTTGGGGCGGTACCGTGCGACGGCGCTCGTCGCACCGTCGTCGTTCCACAGTGCCGTGAAGGTTGGAGCGGTCATCCAACCCTTGGCGTTGTGCCGCCAATAGCAGACGGCTTCGGGGTCGTAATCCGGGCGGAAGTCGTGGGGGCGCCTCGCCTTGCTGATGACCAACGGCCGGAATGCGTGGCTCCCGTCCGCGTTCACGAGAAACGCCACGGTTAGGCGGTCCTTGGAGATTTTGCGCCCTGGTATGCGGGCGTTGCTGTAAGTCCTCCGCGGCAGCACAGACAGCCAGAGGGCTGTCTCGTCCAGATTGTAAGTGTCGCGCGGGCTGAGGCTGAGGTGCGTGAGCAGGTGCGGCAGCTTGTCGCGGGCGTCACGCACGACAGCCATGTCGGCGCTGGCAGCCTCGCCTGCCGATGCACGACATCTCACCCCCTGGCACCGCAACGCACGGCGCACCCAGCCAATGGAGCAGCGGAAGCCGGGCGGGATGCCCATGTTCCGCGCCATTGTCGCAACGTGGTCGCGGATCGTCTGCAGCGTTAGAGGAACGCCAGCGGGTCCGGCGTTTGCAATCCAACGCGCCATGGCCTGTTCCAGCTCAGGCCACGCGCCACCTCGACGGCGAACATGGTTGTCGCCCGTTGCCGTGACAGCCCAGCGTTCGGCGCTTTTCAAAATGCGGCCGACGGTGGAGCGGTCCGGACGCAAGCCGTATTGAGAGAAACACCAGCGGGCGAGGTCAACGTGACGGAGGCGCGGGTTTTCGACCTGATGAAGGCATAAGGCGCGCTTGACATGCAGCGGAAGCTGCTCGCGGCGATTAAATCGCGGCATGGTGGGAGGCTGGGGTGGGTGAGAACGATGCTTAAGTGAATTTGTGGGGCGGATTTTAAACTTGGTTGGATGAGGAGGCGGAGCATTGCTGGGGCCTGTTCTGTATCCCTAATTCTATTTGTGTGGCTCTTGTTCGTTCCATGCACATGGCTGGCGATTTCAATCGTGTGGTTGGGTTACCAGACGGTCGAAAGTCTGACGTGGGGTAGGCGAACAACGTCTGGCTATTAATGCGCTTGTACCCCGCTCATGCAGAGTACACGTGGCAGCGTGAATCGGCCTAAGTGTCTGTTACACGCACGATGATCCTAGCTTAGGTGGCGGGGCAGGTGTGCGAATGTGTTCACGAAACCACGGAGTTTTCGTCCATTCGTTTCGCCTGCCTGGCTCCTAGCCTAGAAACAAGGCAAACATGGGTCGGCAGGCCTTGTTGTGGACTGCACGTGTATTGTGGGCCGGACCGCGTGGACTGTAGTTAGCCATCCATGTGCCTGTACTGTGGGAGCAGCAAGCAGGGGTTTCGAGCTCGGGGGCAGCGTTTCCATCCGGTGCATGGCAAATTCGCGTGCACTGGTCGGGCATCAATTGTACTGCATTTCCTGCTGAAAGGTATTCGCGACATTGCCAAAAACGGGACCAAATTTTCGGCACTTCCATGCATGGGTACTGTCGAAAAGGGCGACCACGATCAGACCCGAGCCCGAAAGTACGCGCGATTGCCATTCATCTTGAGTCAGCGGAATGACGAATTCCGACTTAGCGAACGCCATCAAAATTAATCAACCAAGATGTAAAGAGGTGAGTGCAAAAAGCCTACCGAGAAATCTGATGTGACTCTCGCCTGAATTAGATGGCGTTCCCACGTTTGCCCGCCATCGAAATCACCCGATCAGGCTCGATATTGGGCGGGATGGTGTCCAGAGTGGGGTACTCTCCCACTCTGGACACTCTGTAGTTGCGATCTGCGCGATCCCAATTGAGACTCGCACAAACACTTTAGGGTTCGCGCCCAATGAAGACGTTCATTTGACAGTCGCGCCAACTCAACGACTACTGCGCATAACACAACTCAAGCCAGGGTCTCAAGTAGAGCAAGTGCTTTGCAGTTGTGAGAAAAAGGGTTGGGCTGATTGGCTTACGAATCACGAACAAACGTCCTGCCAAAATTCAACTCGCCAAAGAACAAACACTTCGCAACACGAACCCTCACATTTTCGCGAAACCCTTACCCTCGATCGCAGGGGGTGTGCAAGACAGCCAAAGACGACGGAGTGGGTGTCGCACGCCAAACCCAGGTCTCGGTCAACTGTTTTGCGCAATCAACAACTGAGACACCCCTTACAAACACACTCACCAGCCTTAGACCTAATCAGACCTTACGTAGTCGAGACTGGTGCTGGTTCAAGGGCGACGACGAACAGATACCAGTGATTACCGAGGTACGTGAGTGATGGTAGAGACACGCATAGGCTCAGCGCGAATAGGAAAGGACCTGCACGAAAGCGACCAATGGCATTGAGCCCCACGTTCCCTCGCCCCTCAAATCAGCGTGCGTACTGGGACTGCAAACGATATGGAGTGCATCGCACATGGCGACGTCCAACTGACAGGCGCCACACCCTGCAGTGTATGAGCGCAATACGGTGTTGCGGATTAGATGCGAATTTCAGGCCAACAAAGCGTGAGGACTCACAATCCGAATACATCAGCGGACGACTGCGAGAATGCAAACTCGCCCGCACCAGGGGAATGACATGGCAGGCTGCGCAACTCAAAAAAGCGCATTCCGACGGAAGTTACAGGGCAAAAATGCTCCCCCAGGAGCACACGCCAAACACTAGGCATCTACGCGGAATGCTAACTATCCTTCCCACATCTGATCCAGGCCTCGATCAACCCCGCTCCCCCCATTTCCCTTCACCGCAGTACTCGCATACGGGTATGCGTCAATTTCGGAAAGACGGAAGGCAACAACGAAAACATATAGTATCCCCTTTGCACACGATAAGAGGTGCCTGTGAGCCAAATGCCCGTGGGCATTTGCTACAATGTGACAATGCGGAGTTATAAAAGAGGCTGCATGGCGCGAACGCCAAGGGAGCGGGTCCTAGGTAGACGGTAAGGGAGGCAACCCCTCCCGAAATGCTCCTCTTCCCTCCCGCGCCTCGCTGCTCCCCCGTTGTGCTTCTCCCTTGCTCCGATGCCCCGCTGATCCGATACTCTTATGCTCCCCAAAGCATCCCCCACGCTTCCACTCCGCCTTCCCCCACGCTTCCACTCCGCCTTCCCCCACGCTTCCACTCCGCCTTCCCCCACGCTTCCACTCCGCCTTCCCCCCCGCTTCCACTCCGCCTTCCCCTCCGCTTCCACTCCCCGCCCCCGCGCTTCACTTTCCGTCACCCACTGTTTCACTCCCCTTCCCCCACTGTGACACTCCCCCTTCCTACACTCTTCCACTCCCCTTCCCCCACGCCTCCAATGCAACATGCATTGCTGTTACACTCCGAATCCCCGACGGGTCAGCTCCCATTCCATGGACGGTTACACTCCCATTCTCCCATGCTTCCACTCCGCCTTCCCCCCCACGCTCCCACTCCCCCTCCCCCACTGTTTCACTCCCGTTTCCACCATGCTCCCACTCCCCTTCCCACACTGTTTCACTCACCCCTTCCCCCACTGTTTCACCCACCCTTCCCCTACTGTTTCACTCCCATTGTAGGACTGTTTCACTCCCATTGTAGGACTGTCCCATGCAGACCTGCACCCATGGTCCCATGCTCCCCTGCACCCATGGTCCCATGCTCCCCTGCACCCATGGTCCCATGCTCCCCTGCACCCATGGTCCCATGCAGACCTGCACCCATGGTCCCATGCTCCCCTGCACCCATGGTCCCCATGCTCCCCTGCACCCATGGTCCCATGCAGACCTGCACCCATGGTCCCATGCTCCCCTGCACCCATGGTCCCATGCTCCCCTGCACCCATGGTCCCATGCTCCCCTGCACCCATGGTCCCATGCATACCTGCACCCATGGTCCCATGCTCCCCTGCACCCATGGTCCCGTGCTCCCCTGCACCCATGGTCCCATGCTCCCCTGCACCCATGGTCCCATGCTCCCCTGCACCCATGGTCCCATGCTCCTCTTCATCACGGACCACCATGTAGTGTCAAATCTCAACCCCTCCTTATTGTGTCCCCAACTCACCCCATCTGCATTCCCACAGATTCCGTGCCCCACAGTTTGAACATGGATCGGAGAACTCGGCATAAGGGATTGTCTCTGGGCACACGACTAACTGATGAATTGGAGAGTGATTCGGACAGCGACGATCGTGGACAGCCATGGAAGAACCGCAGATTAGTGGGTGGTGGCATGAGGAGGGGGCGGAGTCGAGCCAGCAGCCAGCTAGGCCATATCAAGCCTCTTCTGCGGCGCTCTCACACACCATCTGGCAAACCAACTGTACTGCTGGAAGCCAGCGAGTCGTGGTCCCTTGAAGAATTTGCCCGGGTCTACCCCAAACAGAACAGTGTTCTCGAGAAGTGGGCTATAGAGGAGTTAGAACTGCCCCAAGAGAGCCAAGGCGATGTGGCCGACAACATATGAACGGTCGAAGCAGTTGTGCGCATATGTTGTGGGAAGAACACGCAAACATCCAACAACGGCCGTCCCATGCTTCCCAAGAATCACAGGTTCAGGTGTTACGTACGCTTTTCCGACCTGCTTGGAGACGATCAAGAGGCCCACGTAAAACTGCCATGGTTAGTGTACGTTGTGATAGGATCTTTGTACCCCTAGAGACCGTCCAAATGAACGAGGGCTACCGGAATTGCACGCAGTCGGATGTTGATTTCTTCTTGGGTGAGTGGGATCCACCCGAAGACATAGACTTTGGAATGCGTAGTTTTGAGTCAGGAGTTACAGCGTCTAGGGTGGATGGCTAAACCGTCGCACCGGATTGTGGCGGTGATAGTTGTGCCTAGGACTCTATACTTTGTATTATTTGTTGCAGTTTTGGTCTCAACAGAAGTAGAGTGGCTAATGCACTCATGTCTGATCTTGTATCACGCGAGTGATTGTGTGCAGAACAAATACCGTAAAGATCCATGTAAGGCGTATGACTAATTACTAGTGTAAAATCAAGGTGTGCACTTGGTGCCTTCCACATATCTGCGTGAGGCAGTGGAAAGCAATGTGTGCATCCACCCCTGTTGCTCCTCCATCAACCCCCTTAGAGAGTCCCTGAACACTCACAAACCGTATCCCATGTTACTCAAAACAATGCGGGCATCATGAGGGGACGGCGGCACACGGAGGCAGAAAGGGAGGTGAAGAGTTTGGGGGTGGGGAAAGGGTGTTATTTGCGTGAGGCAGGAGGTGCAATATCTGCATCCGCCCATGCTCCTCATCCAGCTACCACCGTAGAGTCACTGGATCGTGCACAAACCCCATTAGCCTCTGGTGATAGGAAAACACTGCGGGCATCGTGCGGGGATGGCAGCACAAAGGGACAAAAAAGGAGGTGAAGAGTGAGGGGGTGGTGGAAGGGTGTCTCTTGCGTGAAGCAAGGGCTGCAACATATGCATCCGCCCATGCTCCTCATCCATGAACCACCGTAGAGTCACTTCGGTCGTGGGCAAACCCCATTAGCCTCTGGTGATAGGAAAAAAAACAGCGGGGGGCATGAGGGGATGGCAGCACAAAGGGACAAAACAGGAGGTGAAGAATGAGGGTGGGAATAAAGGGTGTGTACGGCGTGAGGCATGGGCTGCCATATCTGCTTCCGCCCATGCCAGCCATCCAGCTACCACCGTAGAGTCACTGGATGACACACAAACCGGGTCACGCAGCTGTACAGAGGAGAACAACATGGGCTTCGGCAGGGGATGTGGGAGTAAAGGGGCTTATATAGGAGGTGAAGGGTTGGGGGGTGGGGAAAGGATGTGTTGCCTAAGTTATGGGGGGCAATATCTACAGGCTCCCATGCTGCTCAACCAGCAAGACAATATGACGGCGTGAACCAAACAGGGTGACAGTGATGCATGGTCTAGTGCGAGAAAGAACACATGGTGGTATGGGTTCCATAGGGCCACGATATGAAGTGAATGGTTGGGGGCATGGTTTGGGTACATGTGGATTAGTAGAAGAGCCAAACATTGGAAAGGACATGTGTTGCGAGAAGCAAGGTGCCATAGAACTCCAAAAACGACACTTGGCATACCGGATTGATATCTGTCGAGCGCGTTTGGAGGGGCGACGCACACGTGGTACGACCTGGACCACCTCATCTGAGGTTTGTAACATTCCCTGAAGATGTGGCAAGACAAAAACAAACAGGAGCAATACCATAGTTGCCATTTTAATCGTCGAGAGTCGTCATATACAATCTGCACAAACCAGAGCAAAGACAGTGGAAATGCACATACGGAAGAGTGGTCTGCATGCAGCTATTGGTTGAGATTGCGTCGCGTCATCCTGCTTCGAGCCGCCCTAGAAGTTGGCGTCACGGGGCCTCCAGGGGTGGTAAAAATGAAGCTGGTGGGCACGGGGGTGGCTGGCGTGACTGCGGCATTGGTGGGAGTGATTCCAGCTAGGGGAGTAGGAGGGTTGCGGTGTTTGGGAAAGACCAAGAGGTGTTGCCTCTGCATCCACCGGCCGAGGGGGGGTAGCGTGAGCAGAAACTGGCGTATCAGGGGTTGCATCAACAGAGTGCGGCTCCGTCAACTCAGCCTCCTCATCCCGCTGAGTCGACGGCGCTGCATCATCCCGTACCAGCCCAATATCACGCCAATCAGCCATGAGCTTGTCCAACCAGCTCCAGTCCATGTCCAACAAGATCCGCTCCTTGCTACCACGCCTTACCCTAGTTGCCTTCCCGCACGCGTGTCCTGATTGCCACAACAAGACGTGACACCGTTTGGTTCCAGTGCAACACCGAAAGACCTATTCTAGCCACCATACTCTTCTGAAAATGGATCCGCTTCGGTGCATACTTGATTATTAGGGAATGAAATGATTCATTCACCCAGTTACTCGCGCCCTGCACGTAGGGTTCCATTTCTTTCGCACTTGCAATGGTCAGCAAGCCATTCTCGGAGTGCCAGATGGGCCTCAGAGTTGGGCTTGTAAACTGCACTCTCCGGTCCCCATTTCTCTGACACGCATCGAGGTACCGTCACCCGCATGCCCGCAGCTGCTGTGAATCCTTGCCCAATGGTCTGCAGACACGGCAAGTTGATGTGCAACACGTTCCGCTGATGGGGTCTGTCCACTCTTCACCATCGTATTGCAATTCACCATCACATGGTTGAAGTGCGTACTCCACCGTTGTGCCAGCGTCACCTCATAGTACGGTTCTTCGTCAACTAGGCCCGCGCCGGACTCACCACGCTTCCTTTTAGCACTACCCCTCTCGGTCCAACGCAAATTGTCATCCGCGTTGGCTGGTTCGATCGTGTCCATAGAAGAAGCATGCAACTCCTCTTGCTCTGCACACACGAATGGCAAATGCATAAGAGAGCTTGTGAACCGCGTTCTCCAAGGGCAATGCGATGCAAGGCACGAAATGGACTGCCCGGTACGACTGGATAGTACGAGATGGAGTGCAAGGAGCACAGGATGAAGGAAAGTGGGGGAAATGTCTGCTTGGTACGAGATGGACAGCAATGAATGTTGGTGGCTGGAAAGTGGGTAATGACTGGATGGTACAATGAACGAGGGCATGAAACCCCCGGTGGCTGGAAAGTGGGAAATTGACTGGATGGTACGAGATGGGAATGAATGATGGTGGTGAGAAAGTGGGGAAATGACTGGATGATAAGAGATGGAGGAGCGCGGCGCAAAGTTGGAACAAAATGGAGGAAAATGTCCAAATTGTACGAGATAGGCAGCATTGAACGATGGTGGCTTGAAGCTGGGAAATGACTTGATGGAACGACATGGACAGCAAGGAACAAAGGTGGCTGGAATGTGGGAAAATGACCGGATGGTACGAGATGGACAGGAATTGAATGATGGTGGCTAGAAAGTGCGGAAATTACTCGAATGTACAGATTGGATGTCCAAGATCGATGATGGCATGCTTGCCCAAACGAGACCGGAACATGCCCAAACCCCATCTCACCTTTTTCATCCGCTCCTCCACCCCCTGGCGCACATTCTGGCTCTCCATCCATCATTGTATCCGTTGTGAGCCACACGTATTCGGCTTCCGCAGACACAGGAACACCATGCGTTGGATGTGGGTCGAACTCCCAGAGTTGTTGCACACCGGCCCATTGGAAGTTGATGACTTGCTCCGGTATGGATGCACCAGACGGCTGCGCAACCGTGGCTGCATCCACACTCGAGGCGCGTTCTGCCGTGGTTGCACCGACAGTCGTGTGACATCCGTAAGGGGGTCCATCCGCTCCTGATGTCAGCACAGGCGGGGAATTTTCCACAGTCACAGCCTGTTCATGTCCCACATCGCCTTGTCCCAGCCCATCCCTCGCTGTCTTTTGGCGCTTGGCCACGCTGGCCAGCCCCCCCCCCTCCACGCTCCTTCACCCGTAGTACCTTCCGCAAATCAGGAAATTTCCACTTCGACGTCGGCACAGCGTTTGGTTCGTATGCAAACTTACCGAGGGTTGGGCATACAGATTTGATGAGATCTGTCTTTGATGACTTGCCACTTAGACCTTCTGTTGCACCGCCGTGCTGTTTTCAGCCACCCCCATAACTGTGCGGCAGTGCACAGCCACAAATCCCCAGTGCACGTTGCGGCTTCAACTTCCATCGGTTCTCGTAGCACATCTACCAATAGTTTCAGAAACTTCTTGTAAAGTGCTCTTGCCTTGTGCCACACATCTTTTTGATGTGCAAGCCCTAACTCCGCAACTGCTGTCTTAAAAGAACTGCCATCATCGGAAATAATCCCTTTTAAGTGCACCCCCATGGCAGCTAACTCCTTCAGGCCCTCCTTGAAAGCGATCCCTTCTAGCTCAGTCGAGAAAGACTTCTCGTTTACCCTCGACTTGGTCACTTGGTGCATTATTTTGCGCGTTATGGGGTCCATGAAGGTCACAGTTCCCCATTCGGCCTCGCGTGGATGTGAGTAACGCCCATCTACACAAACCCATTCCCATGGCACGAGTCGTTTGCCCATCTCTTCCCGAACTT